GAGGTGTCTTCCTCAACACACCCTCGTTAGTCCACCCTGCAAATCATCCCTCCTTTCATCTACCAGAGCGTGCACCTGGTGATGACGCTGTCACTGTGCCTGCCAGGGAGGGAGGGCACCAGCTGTACCGCAAGTGAGACGCCGGAATGCATGCACCCCTCACTCCTCCTCAACCCCCCCATTTCCACCGGAGCATGCACCTAGTCATGGAGCTGTGCCAGGGAGGGGACCTGCTGGATCGGATAACAGAGCATCTGTCCAGGCACCTCAAAGGACCCTTACAAGCACCCCACCGCCCCTCCCACCTTACCCCTCCTTACCCCTCCTTACCCCTCATGACCCCCTGCCCCACCAGAGCGTGCACCTAGTCATGGAGCTCTGCAAGGGAGGGACCTGCTGGATCGGATAACGGAGCGAGGGGTGCTGTCTGAGCGGGTGGGCGCACACCTCTGCAGGTAGGTGGCATGGCATGGTCTATGGGGCTATGGTTCTGAGGGGCTATGGAACCTCATGCTGTTTGTAGCGTTTGCTGGACTGCATGATTGAGCGAGGGGTGCTCTTTGAGGGCGCACACCTGTGCAGGTGGGTGGCTGGGAATACAGGGCTATGGGGTTGTGGGGCTACCGCGGGCTGCCGGGCTACCCAGGTTCCTCCAACACCCCCACCACCAGGCAAGAGCCCTCCACCACCCCACCACTGGGGTGACTGCGGCAAGAGCCCTCCAGGCCGTCATGCCTGTAGCCCAGGCATGTTTCCAGGACCATTCGGCGATCCCAGTGCTCCTGCTGTTGTCAGTGTCATCCTCCATCACCACTGTCTTTGGTGCTGGTCCCTCCCCTCCCACTGCCCCCTCAGGTGCCAAGAAACAGCACTCAAGTCTCTGGTGCTGCTGCTGGTGGCCCTCCTCTCTGTTTCAACAGCCCCTTCCCCTCCCCCCTCCCCCCCCCTTTCTTCCCCCCGACCCCTTCCCCCCTGCAGCACACATCTCACAGGTGGCTGAATGGGTGACGAGGCATCAGCCTCATAGCAGGGCTCATGGATGAAGAGGCATGTGCGTGCCACCTCCATTCCTCCCTGCAGGTGTGTGGCAGAGGCGCTGCTGCACAGCACAGGCACGGCGTGGTGCATCGAGACATCACGTCTGGACTGGTTCTGCTCTCAGGGACACGTCTTAACCCGCCTGCCGTGCCTGTCTCTTCTACCTTTTCTTCTCGTGCAGGTGCGTGGCAAGCCCTCCTGCACTGCCACAGGCACGGCGTGGTGCATCGGGACATCAAGCCAGAGAACATTCTGCTACTGGACGACACTGCGCTGTCCAAGATGAAGCTGGTGGATTTTGGAATAGCACGCTTCTTCGAGGAAGGTGGGTTTGTGCTACCACGGTGTGGTGTGGTGTGATGCGGTGTGGTGCAGTTGGTGCTATTCCGTAGTGGTTTGCCAGGAAGACGTCAAGCCGGAGAACGTTCTGCTGCTGGACGGCACTGCCATGTCCAAGATGAAGCTTGTCGACTTCGGCATCACGAGGGTCTTTGAGGAAGGTGAGCTTGTGCTGCCATGGTGTGGTGCAGTGCAGTGCGGTGTGGTGGGCGTTGCTCTCCTGCTGTGGTTTGCTAGAAAGACGGCAAGCCAGAGGACATTCTGCTGCTGGACGGCTCTGCCATGTCCAAGATGAAGCTCGTCAACTTCGGCATCGCGAGGGTCTTTGAGGAAGGTGAGCTTGTGCTGCCATGGTGTGGTGCAGTGCAGTAGTGCGGTGTGGTGGGCGTTGCTCTCCTGCTGTGGTTTGCTAGAAAGACGGCAAGCCAGAGGACATTCTGCTGCTGGACGGCTCTGCCATGTCCAAGATGAAGCTCGTCAACTTCCGCATCACGATGGTCTTTGAGGAAGGTGAGCTTGTGCTGCCATGGTGTGGTGCAGTGCAGTGCGATGTGGTGGGTGTTGCTCTCCTGCTGTGGTTTGCTAGAAAGAAGGCAAGCCAGAGGAAATTCTGCTGCTGGACGGCACTGCCATGTCCAAGATGAAGCTCGTCGACTTCGGCATCGGCGAGGGTCTTTGAGGAAGGTGAGTGAGCTAACCCCCTGTGTGTTGCTTTGCTGTGCTACGGATTGCCATCTTTCTAGCGCCCTCTTCCCTCCATTCCCCCTTGCTCTTGTTCTCACTCCACCCGTGATGACTTCTGAGAATTCTCAAAAACACCCTGCAAACTCAAAAGTCATCTCCTTGCTCGTGTTCTCACTCCACCCGTTCCCCCCATCACTACATGCGAACAGTTCACCGATATCATGGGCACCGGAGTTGTGGGATGGGTGCTACGGCACTACTTCCCTCCTGACTCACCACCTTTCCTTCAATGTAGTTCCACCTCTCCCCCACTAGCTGAACAGTTCACCAACAAAATGGGTGCGTGCGAGTACATGGTACCGGGGATGTGGGACGCATGCTATGGCCCCTTGCGCTCATCCGCCCTCATTCCTGTCTCCATTCCCAGGCGAGCAGTTCACCGACATAATGGGAACCCCCGAGTACATGGCGCCGGAGGTGTGGGACGGGTGCTACGGCCCGGCGGTGGATGTGTGGAGCACGGGAGTGGTGATGTACATCGCCATGTCGGGCGTGCCACCATTCTGGGCCGCGTCTCAGCGCGACATGGAGGCGGCTGTTAGAGAGAGGGAGGCGAGCTTTCGGCTGGCCGTGTGGGGGGATGTGTCGGACAGCTGTAAGGACCTGATTGGCCGCATGCTGGTGAAAGACCCGAGGAGGAGGATCACCCTGCTGGAAATTCTTGGTGAGTGGTTCTGGGCGGTTCTAGGGGAGGGATGAACCACGTTTAGGGGAACGGTCACTGGTCAGTGGACACGTGCGCCGCCATATGGAGGATGGTTCTAGGGGCATGCCGCCCTTCTGGGCAGCGTCTCAGCGCGACACGGAGGCGGCGGTCAGGGAGAGGGAGGCGAGTGGTTGGATGGGAGGGTCTAGGAAAGAAAGCACACCGGAGTGGTCATGTCGGGCGTGCCACTCTTCTGGGCCACGTCCCAACAAGACATGGAGGCGGCGGTTAGAGAGAGGGAGGCGAGCTTTCAGTTGGTGGTGTGGAGGGGCGTGTGAAAGAGTTGTTAGGACCTCATTGGCTGCACGCTGGTGAAAGACCCGAGGAGGAGGATCACCCTGCTAGATGTTCTGCATGAGTGGTAGGGGATTGAAAGGAAGGGGCAAGGGGGGCGGGGGGGCCGGTAGGGAGGGGGGGTTGTGGAGAGTAACACACCTCCTGAGGGAGCTGAAAGGACCTCGTTCATCAGCCGCATGCGGGTGAAAGAGCCCATGAGAAGAATCTCCTGCTGAAGGGGTTCTAGGTGAGTGGCTGTAGGGTAGTGCTGGGGGGTGCTGGGGGGTTCTAGGGGAGGGAGAACACTGGAGCGCTCATGTACATCCCCGTCCCCTTACCCCCCCCAAAAGGCTATACCTTTTCCTGTTCCCTGCCCTCCCCCCCCCCCCCTCCCAATCCTCCCCTTTGACGTGTTCAGGCCACCCTTGGCTGCAGCACCACGCCAAGAGTTGACGGCTTGAGCCGCCTTTTCGACTTTCTACCTGACACTGATCATAGGGAGGGACTATCAAAGAAGCTTAGGATAGGAACTACACTTAGGAACCTAGCTTAGCTAGGAAGGAAGGAAGGACGCCATGGAATGGCATGAGGCAAGTAGATCTAGGAGTAGGCAAAAGTGACGAGAAAGAAGAGGGTTGGACTAGGAAGAGAGAGAGGTACAAGGAGGGGATTGTACCCTCTACAGAAAGGTTCAGTAACACTACCAAGCCTATCAATTATATAACTCTATAATTTTAACACACCCCCTAGGCTTGGTAGTCACAAGCCCACACACACCCCCACACCCCCTAACCTAGCACCCCCAGTCCCATCAGCCACAATGCTCCCAGCAGGGCCCAAAAGGCCGTGGAGATGGCGACGGCGGCAGTCCCGACCGCGGCGACAGCGACGGCGACGACGGGCGTGCGGCGGCAAACGGCCTGCGGCGACGGCAGCGGCGACGGCGACGGCGACGGCTTCGGCTTACGGCGGCGGTGAGTGCAGCGTAACAAAATTGAGAAGTAAAATGATAGATAGAGAGTACACACGGATATACCTAAGTGTTGTACTCTCTAAGAGGCGACCCTATACAGTCTATACAAACATGACAAATACACATGTTTGACACACCCCCTAGACTGCATAGGGGAATGCCCTAAACAAATAGCTCAGGGCGGCACTACTAGTCCAACCTCTGAGACAAGGGTCTGAGAGACCAGTCAGAAGGAGTACAAACAAGGCAAGAACAAGAGCAGGGCGGCACTACTAGTCCAGCCACTGAGAGAGGACACAAGTCCAGTCTGAGTATACGTATAAAGGACAGTACCAAGTCAAGGTCCTAGCAAGTGAGAGGCTACAGGAACTAGACCAAGCTGTACACAGTGTCGCTGATGATCTTTAGGCGCAAGCGCCTTCGTAAAGATATCAGCCGTATTGGCACCTGAGGCCAAGTGTACTACGCGAGCCTGACGTCGCTGCTGTAGCTCACGCAGGAGGAAGTACCGCACCTGAATGTGCTTTGCTCTGCCCTCGAGTCGAGGCTCCTGACACAGGAGGATCATGGCCCTGTTGTCAGCGAACAGGACCGGGGCAGAGCTAGGCCGCTCACCTAAGTCGGTGAGCAAGAAGGTCAGCCAGCGGAGCTCCTGTGCCGCCATGGCACCAGCGTAGATCTCAGCCTCACAGCTGGACTGCGCAACAGACGAGGAGCGGGTAGCTCTCCACGAGACGGCACCTGAGCCAAGGCTGAAGCAGTAGCCCTGGGTAGACCTGAGTGTCTCAGCGTCGTCTGCCCACGAAGCGTCTGTATGTCCAGTAAAGACCACTGGCCTGCGTCCTCCTAGCACTAACCCCATGCCCGATGTACTAGCAAGATAACGCAGAACCCTCTTAGCGGCAGACCAGTGCTGCGGTCGGTGCCTGCCTGTGGCCACAAAACGAGCCAGGATGCTGAGAGGGTATGCGAGATCTGGGCGAGTGCAAGTCATCAGGTACATGAGGCAACCCACCAGCTCTGCGTAGGGGCCGCTGGGCTCTACCAAATCCTCAGACACTGGAGCGGAGAGTCTGTGGTCTACAGGCAGAGGGGTGGGCTGTGCAGAGGAGAACTGAAGGCTGAACCTCTGAAGGACCTGGCGCACCAAGTGTGACTGAGTCAGGGTGATGGTGCGCGCAGCTCTGTCCCTGGAGATCTGCAAGCCAAGGTAACGGCGCAGTTCTCCAAGGTCAGTGCACGTGTGTCTCTTCAGCAGCTCTGCCTTCACGGAGGCCAGTGCGTCTCTGTCAGCTGTGGCAAAGACCAGGTCGTCGACGTAAACAAGGATGTAGAACGGAGTCTGGCCAGCACGAACGAAGAGTGAAGGGTCTGCGGAAGACGGAAAGAACTGCAGGTCAGCAAGCGTAGCACGGAGAGTGTCGTGCCACTCACGGGGAGCCTGGCGCAGGCCGTAGACGGGGCGCCGCAGGAGCCACAGGGTCCCAGGAGGGAAGGTGTCAGTGAAGCCCTGAGGGCGACGCAAGTAGACCTGCTCGTGTAGGCTGCCCTGAAGGAAGGCAGTGGAGAAGTCGAGGGAGTGAAGCTCGTAGTCACGCTGAGCAGCTAGGTGTAACAGAACCCGAAGAGTAGTCATCTTCGGGGTCGGAGCGAAAGTCTGGAAGAAGTCCACCCCCTCGCGCTGACTGAAGCCTTAGCCACATAGCGCGCCTTGAAGACAGGCGGCTCTCCAGGAGGGCGCTTCACCTTGAAGAGCCAGCGGCCATCGACTACGTTCACCCCAGGTGGGGGAACTGCGTCGACGAAGGTGCCGGTGGATCTCCAAGATGCCATCTCCTGCTCCATAGCAGCTATCCACTGCGAGGCCCAGGGTCCCGAAGTCGCCTCAGCGTAAGTGCGAGGGGTCGGGATTTCGAAAGCGTCTGGGTCACCCTCAGGGACTAGCAGCATGGAACAGAGATGGGGAGCAGCCTCGGAGAGGAAAGCAAGCTCAAACTGGCGGTCCTCCAGGACGTCACTGCCAAGGGCAGGAGCACCCCCGACAGACGGAGGACAGGCAGGGTCAGAGACCAGAGCGGAGGCGTAGTCAAGGCGGCGGGTAGAGGCGAAGTCAGCGACAGCAGCGACAAGAGCGTCAAGGCACGAGACCGGAACAGACGGGTCGGTAACGAGAGAGGCAAGGACCCGAGGAACAAGGGGACGAGCGGCACGAAGGTAGTCAGACAGCGGGGGGGGTGCAACAACAAGAGAGGACGGAGGAGGCGACGGCAAAAGGGGAGGACGAGACGTGTGGGAACGAAGCAACATAGGGTGGGAGCGCAAGACAGGCGAGGCAGGACGAGCGCGGGAGGGACGGTGAGACCAGACGTGCGACGGAGGAGTCGGGTCAGGAGACAGAGGAGGGGACACAGGAGGGGAACGAGGGGGGAGACGGGTCGGGGACGAGTCCGGCGGAGGGAAGACAGGGCCGTAGACAGGAAGAGGAGGAGACGGCCGGGGAGGAACCGACGCAGGGTCGGGGGACGGAAGGCCGAGAAGGCGAAGGGCTGACACCGGCGGGGACTGCTGCTGCGGCGGCACAACGGCGACACCGGGACCGCAAGCTGCTCCTCGGCTACCACCGGCACTCTCCACACCAGCACCCCCAGAGGGACCACCCCCAGGGCTACCGAGACGAGCACCCCCAGAGTCAACGAACGGGTGCTGCGACGGCGGCGGCGGCGGCGGCGGCAGCGACAACGACGGCTGCAGCGGCGGCAGAGGTGGTGGAGGGGGGGACTGGGGAGGGGACGCTAGGGGAGGGGCGGCCGGCGAGGACTGAACAGGAGGGCCACCAGAGTCAGAAGACTCCTCAACCGGGTCCACCGACGGAAGGGGGGTGACGTGGGACACACCAGAGGGGGCGGGACGGGGAGGAGGAGGAGGAGGGGCAGGGACTACCGGAGAAGGAGTGACCAGGAACAGGGGGGGGGTAACCGGGGGACCATGGTGGGGGAAGCGACGGTAGTAGGAGACGGACTCGTCAAAGGTGACGTCACGAGAGTGAAAGAAGCGGTGAGACGGCGGGTGGTAAAAGTGCCAGTCGGACGCGTCAAGGGGAAAACCGAGGAAGACGCAGGGAAGGGTGCGGGCAGTGAGCTTGTCCGTGCCGGAGGCACGGACGTGAGCAAGGCAGCCCCAGACGTGGAACGCAGACGCGTCACCAGGAGACCCAGTCCAAAGACGAGTCGGCGAAACCTGCGGCTGCTGAGGGTGCGGCCACAAGTTAAGCTGGTGAGAAGCGTAGCGCACAGCGAACGGCCACAGAAAATGGGGTGCACCGGCATGGATCATGGAGGTGCGAGCCACCTCCATGACCAAACCGATGCGTCGCTCAGCGACCCCATTCTGCTGTGGGGAGTCCGATAGGGTGAACGTCTGGGTGATGCCCTCCGCACGACAAAAGCGACCAAGGACACCTGAGGCAAACTCGCCACCACGGTCGGAGTGAAGACGCAAGACAGGGAGACCTCGGTGGACACGCGCAGAGACAAGCCAGGGGATGAGAGCGCTAGGCACGTCGGCCTTGCGCTCCAGGGGAAAGACTGTGGTATAACGAGTGAAGTCGTCGACAAGCACAAGGAAGTAGCGCTCTCGACGCGGCCCAGGGACGGGGGCGGGGCCCCAGACGTCCAGGTGCAGGGTCTGCAGCGGCGCGGCGGTAGGGGGAAACGAGGAGGAGTGCGGGGCACGGCGAAGCTGACCCTCAACACAAGGCGTGCAAGGTGGAGCTGGGAAGGAGGGAAACGCGGGGAGGGAACCTGGGAGACCAAGGACAAGACCGTGCTGGGACATTTGACGCAGACGCGGGAGCGCAGGGTGACCTAGGCGGTGGTGCCAAAGGAGAGTCGGGTGAGTGAGGGACCGACAAGAGCAGGCAGCAGCAACCAGGGTAGACGCAGCCACCTGAGGAGGCGCCCCAGCCGGGGGGGTCACGGTGTCCAGAGTGAACAGGCCGGACACCGGGTCCCGGGGGAACGTGGACAGGGGGGCACCAGTGGCGGCCTCGGTACAGACTGCATACCGCTCGTGACCAGGGAACGTAGTGGTGACGCCAAGGTCCTGGAGGCAGCCGACACCAACTAGGTTCCTGGAGAACGAGGGGATATGCAGACCTGTGAGAGAGCCCGAAGGAACCGCCGGACGGGGAAGGGTGGTGGAATTGCGGGCGACGACCGGACCGCCGGAGGGGTCAGGAAGAGAGACGGCAGCTGGGACAGGAAGCGGCGTCAGGGTGGTATAGTCGCGGAAGAAACACCGAGAAGCGCCAGAGTCCAAGGTGAAGGAAAGCGAAGCAGAGGCGTCTGGCAACGGAACGACGGCGGAAGCACCAAGACTACACAAAGCAGGGGATCCTACGCCTGACGCAGCAGGGGAGGCTAAGCTAGGCACACCTACACTAGGCAACAGTGAGTAATAAGCGGGAACCACACTAGAGTCATCAGCATACATCACATGCAGAGCAGCAACAATGGCATCCATTTCCATATCAAAAATCTGAATCTTACGACTAAGCAAACTGTGCCAGTCCGGGAGGTCTGGCGACGGGCCGAAGCGCTGACGAAAGAGGTCGTCCAGGCGACGAAAACAGCGGGGAGTGGAGTGACCGAGCCTACCGCAAACGAAACCGTGGCGAGGACCGGTCTGGATCTGGTACTGACAACGCCCGCCACCAGAGCCACCACTCGGCACACCACCACGCGCC